TGTATTTTTTTTATATAAGTCTCTATACTCATGTTTTGTTTCTTCTTTTCGAGAAAATATTAAATTAGATATCTTATTGTAGAACGGTAGCCTAACATAATCTTCCGGGTTTGTATTTTATATAGCCCGGTGCGGTAGGTTACATGTGGGCACTCATAGAAACAGCCGCGTAATGGATTAAGTGCGAATGTTGAAATTCGGAACTTATATTTAATGCAAATTTTAGACTTAATAAATGATACCGGCAAGACCGCCAAAGTGAAAAAAAAATTAATAATGACAAAACGAAATTTTATATAATGCTAACGTTCTAACGCTAACGTAACTTTAAATTTCTATTTTTATGAATAAATTAAGAGACTTGCTAATGCCACCCCCAAATAGTTTAGCTAGCCTCTAATTCTAACCCTAACTTTAAACTAAATTAGATTTAGGGTTAGAGTTAGTCTAATATTATAATTTAATTAGTTATTTTTATTATACAAATCGTATAACTAAAATTTAGTATAGCAGCTAGACTATATAGGAGGTGGTATTAGTAAAAGTGGGGGTGGCGTACTCTAAATTAAATTTCTTTTTACGTATGAATGGATCAATCAACCGTGACGTGAATGGATCAATCATCAACCCATGACTAGGGTACTAGACCCGGGTGCAGTTACTTACTTCAATTTCTATTTTTCTAATTTTTCGATCTAATTTTAATAATACCCTCCGCAACAGTATTGTACGTTTTGACTGCCCGGAGCTTTTTCCGTTCCGAGACGTCCCAATTTGTCCCATTAATCGCTCAATTTTTGGCTTGAAAAATATCTTTTTAAACCTCAATTTTGTCCAGCTGTCCCCATGTACGACTGTTCCGCAGTATACAATTCACCTTTATCAATTGGGTAATCACACAAGCCAATTAAGTGATTCGGAAATCGTATAGGGTCCTATATTAAATGTAAGTAAAACTCCGGCATCTTTGAACATCTGACTAATCACGCGATACAGACGTATTATAAATAGCAAACACAGACGTGCGTATATATTCGTAATATCAAATCGAAATCGTTCAAAAGCACAACTACTTTCTCAACATGCCAGAAGAAAAAATGGAGATTCGCCTAGACGCGGATGTATTTCATAAGCGCGCGAGACATTTCCTCTCAATTTGGAAGGTATGTAAAAAAACAGCTCGAAATTTGCAAATTTAGATTTTACAATATAGAGCAAGTAAATATTCGGAGTGATTTCAAGAAATCGCGTAAACTTTTTTACAATGATTCAAACTTCAAGTTTTTTGTCCTATAACCTTATTTTGTGAAAACAAAAAACCGCTTTTTTTAGTCGTCGTTAAATAAAGAGCCAAACGATGAGCTTTATCAAGCCTTTCAAGGCGTAAATTCAATTCTTGTTGTAGTGGGAGAAATTATGGAAGAATATCCGTATCAAAAGTCTACCGCGATTCAGGTAGTTATAATGTTTTCAAAATCGCAATTATGATCTGTAACGTTCAACAAATTATTAATACCTTATTTATCAAAAGCAATGGCTCTTGGGCTATGAATTCACAGATACTCTAATTCTTTTTACTCATGATAAAATTCATTTCATAGTAAAAGAAAAGAGAGGTATATTATATATCGATTATTTGCTTCATCACCCACAAATCTTGAATTTATGATCATTTACGAGTAATTTTCATATCAGCTGAAGTCTTTGAGCAGCTGAAACAAGGAGATCGACAAGTGCCTATTGAAATTCATAAGCGAAGTAAAGATCCATCTCATAATCAGACACTTTTTGAACAAATTATTTCCAGGATTTCAGAGGGGGAACAGGTGCGAATAGGTGGCTGTATCAATACATAATTTGAATAAATAGCTTATGTTATTATTATCAATAGAAACGCGTTGGATTATTATTGAAGGATAAGACATCAGGAAATTTCGTCCAAGAATGGCAAAATGTTTATAATAATTTTAAACAAGATTTTGAAGAAGTGGATATCGCTTCAGGAATAGCTTATGTCTTAGCTATAAAAGATGATGAAGAATTGGTGCGTTATTTTTATTTTTTTTGTAGAATGTTCGCTTGCCATTTATAATAATTAATTTTGTTTTAGAGAACAACACGCATGGCATGCAAAATAAGCACCGCGATGATGTATCTGTTCATTAATGTGGTGTCTTCCATTATTGACGAAGAAAAAGAGATAACGCATGAGCAATTATCTGAAGATGTAGAAAATGTTTTATATACTAAAGACGAAAAGTGGCTTACAAGCCATAAGAGCCTTCAAGATGTGCGAATTATCTTATTCAAGTATTTGTCGGTTTTTACGTTTGTGTTGCATATTCTAACTTTAGCATCTTGCACGGTGTTCAGGTTGATTTTAATCGAACAGATGTGTGTTATGCACCAATCATACAAAGTGGTGGTGTTTACGATTTTAAACCTTCTGCCCAATCTAATAATAATAAGTTGCATGATGGAACGATTCTTTGTTCCCTGGGTGTTCGATACAAGTCGTACTGTTCGAATATTGGCAGGACCATTCTAATAGATCCAACAAAAGTAGGTCATATATTCTAATTCGATTAAATTTTTGTTGCATAGAATTTAATATTCGTTGTCATTAGGAACAAGAAAAAAATTATGAGTTTCTTTTGGATGTACAACGACGCACGTTGGAATTACTGAAAGACGGTCAAAAGATCGGAGATATATACACAAGAGTAATGAATTATGTTAAAAACAAACGTTCTGATCTCGCTGATAAGTTTGTCAAAAGCCTTGGGCACGGAGTATGTATCGATTTAAAATAGTAATAATATTGATTAAATTAAGCAATAGGCAATTATAATTTTCTTTTTAGATGGGAATCGAGTTCCGAGAGTCTGCTTATAATTTGAATCAAAAGAATACCAAAGAACTTAAGGCCGGCATGGTGTTAAATTTGTTTATTGGTTTTATAGATCTTGAAAATCCAAAATCCACAGACGAGAAGAGTAAGATGTAAGATATTAGCACACATATTTGCATGTAGTTTTTTTTAATAGTGCACCTAGTAAAAACTGATCACATATTTTATAGTTATTCGTTATGGATAAGATATCTAATTTAATATTTTCTCGAAAAGAAGAAACAAAACATGAGTATAGAGACTTATATAAAAAAAATACA